AGAATAGAATAGAATAGAATAGAATAGAATAGAATAGAATAGAATAGAATAGAATAGAATAGAATAGAATAGAATTCTTTATTGGCCAAGTGTGATTGGACACACAAAGAATTTGTCTTGATGCGAATGCTCTCGCTGTACATAAAAGAAAATATACATTCGTCAAGAATCATTAGGTACAACACTTAATGATAGTCACAGGGTACAATAAACAATCAAATCATACTAGGAAACAGTCAATATAAACCCTAAGGATACAAGCAACAAAGTTACAGTCATACAGTCACAAGTGGGAGGGGATGGGTGATAAGGAGTGATGAGAAGATTAATAGTAATAGTAATGCAGACTTAGTAAATAGTTTGACAGTGTTGAGGGAATTATTTGTTTAGCAGAGTGATGGTGTTCGGGGAAAAACTGTCCTTGTGTCTAGTTGTTTTGGTGTGCAATGCTCTATAGAGTCGTTTTGAGGGTGGGAGTTGAAACAGTTTATGTCCAGGATGTGAGGGGTCTGTAAATATTTTCACAGCCCTCTACCAAGTTCTGTAGGACTTTGTGGTGTTAGAATTACAGCCTTAGTCCCAAATAAAATCCACTGGGCTGAGACAGACTTTCCTTCTTGCTGATCATTTTTCTGCATTTTCCAAAACTGCTGTGGTTGTTCACCTCTTTCTCCTGTGTCTCCATGAGACACGGTTCTTCTTTGGCTAGAGAAAGTTTAAGTGTTCTTTGTATTAAGCAACAAATTTGTCTATCTGGATTAAGCTGACTGTAGGTGGGTCCCTGAATGGGGCCTAGGTTACAACCATCTGTGCAACCAACTCTTTTCCCTTCCTTGTTTGCCAGTGTCAATTTGAGGACACTGTGATCCTGAAAAGCCAGATTCCAAGGGAAGTTGTGTAAAATGGCAGTTGTGTAAGAACACACACATGGAGTTTTTCCTTTGAATGAAATGTTGAGGGTGAAGAATACATGATTGGGACGGGATTTTCTAGTCTTGTCCATCAGTGTCTTCCCCCACCTACTGAAAACCCACCAACGGAAAGAAACACAGCTTCTAATAAATAATAAGACTCCACAATTAATTTGTCCTTGCTTTTACTCTATCAAATCTAGTCTTGTCCCTCTCAGATTCATAGCCTGCAACAGATGAATGAATAATAAACAAATAGCACAACAAATAAATTAATACACTCAGCAGCCCTCCCCAATAAGGATCTTCTAGTTCACTCAGACCAGCATAGAATTAAAAGGGTTGACTATAATTTGCAAGGAAAAGTAGAACTGCAAATGGTAACAACAGTTTCTATTTATGAAAGAGATACTTGAAAGATACAACATACAAAAACAATCCCAGCTAGTATTTTAAACATGGTATGTAACTCTTCTCCCTTAATATTTGGGTGTCCTTCAGGTATAAAATTCAACTTTAGTTTACTTTTCACAGAAATGGTGATTTCTTCTATTGATACATTCCCCTCCCTCATTCTGACCCAGTTCCTTTTTTTCATTCCAAAGAAAGATTTGAATAAAACCTTCCTTCAGTTGATTAGACTTCAGATTGAAGCATTCAGCGAGATCTCTCTTTCCTGCCTGTAATCAGCTCTAGCTGAGACTGTAATTGTGGAAAGTTTTCAGAAGTGCTGGAAAAGCAAGCAAAATTTAGCTTGATAAAAGTGGTGCATTGATAAGTCTTGTTCAGATGCCTACTGAAAAATGACAGGGAAAAGAGAAAACCAAATAGATCCCCGACATCTGTCAAGGCCTACATTTTGAGCTTTTCAAGATTTCCCATGTTTCATTCAATCAATCCATAATCTTTATTTGGAATTGTAATGTTCTGAAAATATTTCCTGGGCAGAATTTATGTAAGGTGGTCTTCCAGTAGAGAAGCACCAGTAGAGAAATAAACAAGACTTCATTTGGGGTTTGGACTTGAAATGTGCTCATTGATTGACTTAATTTGGAGATGCTGAATCTTTGCATGTTTAATTTATAAGCTTCCTCATCACTTTCAGTGGTGGTTATTATGGTGCATTTTATATCTGGAAATCTGTCTGGTTCTTCTTCTTTTGCAATATTTTGAAAAGGAGCTAGTAGAGTTAGGGAAGGATCAGGAAAATTCAGCTAGAATGATGAGGGGTTTGAAGTAATTCCAACAAGAAAAGTCTGGAATGCATGAGAGTCTTTAATTTTGAGAAGACCCTTTAATTTTGGGGACAATTGAGAAGGACATGATTAATGTCTATAAAATCATATGTTATATGGAGAAAGTGATTAAGGATCAAGTGTTTCTGAAGACTAGGATCCTAGGAAGCTGGCTAGAGAGAGTTTTAAAGTTGCAGGGGGGAAAAGGAAGTGTTTATATATGTGGCACATAAGTAACTATTACATTCATTACAAGGTACGGCAATGGAGGTTGACTTGGATAGCTTTATATTGGGATTAAATATGTTAATGTAAACCAGGCCTTTCTAGAGTTATTAATGTTGAGAATCAATGTTGGCTCTTGGTTAGAGTCACCATGTCCCCAGATGGCAGCTGCTGGCAAACAGTGGTGGGAAAGGGTATATTTCCTTCTCTTGATTTTGAGCATTCCAGAAACTTTTAGTTGGACATTGTGAGAAACAAAATATTGGACTAAGGAGAGTCTTGCGCTGTGTGTCACTTAGTGATGATCTGGACAGTTGTGCTGAGGAAGGCAGACTGTCATCATCATCATCATCATCATCATCATCATCATCAATGCATTTTCTATTACCTACATTTCTTAGTGCTTAATAAACATCATGCTGTCTGGGTATTTAATTTGCTTAATAATACGGATTCCCTTTTTAATCTCCACTCCTTTTTTCCAACCACTGGCAAAATAAATTCC